GCGGGGACGGGGCCACTGGGCGGGGCGCGGCCGGCAGGTCCCGGGAGTCGGGGACCAGCCCCGGGGAGGTGCGCGCTCGGTGCGGGGACGGCTGCGGGCGGGCTTGGGAGGGGCGCCAGAGTCACACGAGGGGAGCGGTGTGTCCCATCCAGGGGCTGAGTCACCGGGGCCCCCAACGCCAACCTTCCGAGCCTCAGTTTCCCTCCCTGGGGAATCCCTGCCACTTACAGCGCGTGGAGACCCTGGAATCAGAGACAGCCAGCGCCCCGTTACCTCACGCCCCGCGCTCGTCTGCTCCAGACCAGCGGAGCGAGCCGAACCTTGGGGCAGGTGGCCTCGCGGGCGGGTCCAGCTGTTCTCCGCGCGCCGGGATGCTCGGAGGGGCGCCCTGCGCGGCTCCTCCAGCTGTGCTCTTTGGCGCGCGCCCAGGGAACGCGTCCGGGGGTCCCGGGACGGGTGGAGGAGGAGAGCTCACCTGAGCCCTCACCTCCCCTTGACCTCGGAGCCGACAGAGACTGGTCACAGGATTAAGCATGGGGCCAGGTCGGCAGAGGGCGGAGAGGGGAGGACGCGAGTTGGGGTACGCGGGGCGCTGCGCGGGGGTGACGTCCACACAGCGGAGCGCGTGCCGCGGCCCCGGAGCCGAACACAGGAAAATCGGCCGGTGAGTCAGTGGGACTTTGTTAGGAAGGCGCAGGGCGCAGCTGGCCCCGGCTTAGGGGAAGCGCGGCCCCCCGTGATCGCCCGCTGTTTATCTGGCTTCCTGTTTCAGCCATTGGGAGACCATTGGCTCGTTCAAATCCAGGGCTGAGACGCCCGCAGCCTCGTTCGCTCTGCGAGGGCAGAGCAGTTGCCTGGGTTTTCCTCTTGCGGTGTCCTGTTCCCCACACCGGGTGTCCCCTGCAGCTCACTGACAAGGGGGCATCGACTTACACAAAGAGCCCTCCCAAGGAGGCGGAGCTGTCACTCCAGAGAGTGGAGATGCCTGTGACTCCAGCCTGCTTATGAATTTTTTATCCTGCTTCGAGTTTTGGTTGGTGTGTCTTTGGGACTAAGTTGGAAGGGCTGGGGCCGCTGTGACTGTGGTTGCCGTCCCTAAGGTGAGCTGGTGGTGAGGCAGGCTTCTGGGGGAGTTCGCCCCCTTCGCAGATGTGCCAGCCTGTGCTGCCAGCTCCTGATGATCCGAGACAGAATAATCCCTCCCCTCCCGGCCTTTATTTTCACTTCCATGAAGTGGAGCTGGGGAAGGTCGCCTCTGCTAGCAGCACAGAGAAGGCTCTTCTGAATTTTCTCCCACCTCCAAGGTCGGTTTGCTGACCGTCCATGACAGGAGGGGGCAGCCCCGCTGCCAGCACCCGGTTCACCTCCTCCTTTGTGCTTCAGGCCTCTCGGGGTGTTAGTGCTTGTGCCTCATCCCCCCCGAAGGTGCCTTCCAGCCAGAGACCCTGTGACCGCCACAATGCCCGGCCCACAGTGGGCACTTCATAAGTGTTTGCTGAGTTGATAAAACTGGAAAAAATCTCAGTACCGCTCGGGGGCCTCCCATCCAAGGCAGGTGGCTGTTTATTCATTCTCTGGGAGCCGCGTGATTTGTCTCCAGCCAGCTCCTTTTCTCCCTCGAAACTGGTCCACGGTGGGGCTGACGTGCCCACAGGCGGGCAGGCCTGAACATCCGGGCCTTTTCTGGGCTCTTCCTGGGGAGCCCAGGGAGACCAAGAGCAGGGACCGGTTTTCCTTCCTTTCCTGACATGGCCCCTCCTGAGTCCGCGTCCGCGTGAGCCTCAGCTCAGCTTCCGCCCGGGAGAAGACCGACCCGGTGGAGAGAAAACCTGTCGTCCATCTTTTAGTATCTGCTTCTCTTTTCATCTTTCCCTTTCCCATCAGTGTCACTTCTGTCTTTTCTAAGGCTCTTTGGAACCGCTAAAGGGTTTGGCCTTGAAAAGAACTAGAATGTCAAAGTCAAAAGGGCCTCTTCCCCTCCCAGCCCGGGCTCTGCCCTCCTCCCCTGTACAGAGCAGAGTCCCGGCTGGGCTGGGCCGGGCCACGCCTCTGGCCCCGCAGAAGCCGGCCTAGAAGGCAGGCCCTGGCTCCCTGGGCTCAGCATCGCCCTCTCCCCGGTGCTTCTGCGCACAGATCCCAGCCGATCCCAGTGACGAAGCTGTTGGCAGGAGAGGACAGGGTGCGGGTAGGGAGGGCTGTGCCTGCGACAAAGCTGACTCCGGCCCGGGGCCTGGGAACAGGGAGAACTAAGAGATGTGGCAAACGCTGCGTCTTTCTGGCTCCTCGTCACAAAACATAATTAAAAACACCTTTAGTCCCTTCTTCAACTGAACTTAGAAAACCTCACCGACTTTTCAAGCGAGAAGCACCCCGCTCGGCAAACGTGCTGCGTCCCCTCCACCTCCCGGGGAGGCTGACTCAGGCCGCGTTCCTCCCAGGGGCCTGGGATTTTGTTTCCCGGCTTCCTGGACTCTGGAGCCAGGAAGGGAGGCAGGATGGCGGGGACCCGGGCCGCCGCCGACCTGCCCGTAGGTGCGCTTCCGCTGTTTACGCCCGTCCCACGCGGTCCACACCGCGGGCGGCGCCAAATCTGTCTGCTCTACTTAATTTTAATATGAGATGCGAGCGCGCGCACGAGAAATGCAGGGCGCTGACGCGTGTGCCTTGGCGGGGACGCTCCCGCGTCGGAGGGCCAACTCCTCTGATGCCCTCGGACGCCCCCGAAGCTTCCGTAAATGCGCCCCTTGCCTTCATTGCCTCTTCAGATCGCTCGCTGCTGGTGCAGAGAAACGCGGCCGACGCGCGTGCTGGTCCCATAGCCTGGAACGTGGCCGAGCTTGGGGTTTCGGCTCTCGTAGGTTTTGTGTCTGGAGTCTTGGGGTTGTCTATAGAGAGGATCGTGCCCGCTGTGAGTAGAGGGCGCTTTTCACCTTCCCTCTCGATTCGAATGCCTTTTGTTTCTTCTTGAGTGACTGGGGCGGCTACAACCTGCGGCGGAATGTGAATGTGCACGTCGCGCCCTCTGCGGTCTGGGAGGGAGCCCTCCGCCTCGCAGAGCGGATGCCGACGTCGCCGCGAACCTCTCCGCAGCGCCCGTGGCCACGCGGGGGACATTCCCTTCCGTTCCAAAGGCGTCAAACGATTCTTTGCTCTGCGTCCGCGGGATAGTCACGTGCGCATCGGTGCATCACATCGATGGGTTTGCGGATGTCGAATTGCGGGCAGAAATCCCTCCGAAAGCTTTTTTTTTTTTTAATTTGCAGAGTTTTCTTTCCTTTGTTTGAAAGAAAATCTGACAATCCTAACATACTAGGCGGGATGTTTCTCACTTTTTTTTTTTTTTAGAGTCACTGTACTTCAAACATTTAAAATCTGGGTTTTTTTTTTGTGTGTGGTAAAATATACATAACATAAAATTTTTAGCCACTCTTAAGCATACATTTCGGAGGCGTTAAGTACATTCCCATTGTCACGGAATCAATATCACCATCCACCTCCAGAGCTTTTTAAAGTTCCCAGACTTTGAAAGGTTGACGTTTAGTTTCCCAGACTAAAACTTCGCACCCCGTTCCCCACTCTCCCGACCCCTGACACCACCGCTCCACTTCCTGTCCCTGTGAGCTCCTGAAAATGGTGTAACCCCTGGCAGCGCCGGGACACGGGGGCGTCCAGGGGTTAGAGGATCTCCGTTCCGGAGGGGTCGACCTGGCGGGAGCTGGCTGGGGGCTTTGTGCTGCGGTCCTGGGCTCGGGGGCAGCAGG